TAGGTCTGAAAGAATCAATCAGAATGGCTGTGGCGATCTTTAGGAGAAATGGGTGTTAATGTCTTCGAACTGGGTCTTAATGTCTCTATGAAAATCAAACCACCAAGTTTGTTACAGAACCCAGACAGTTAACTTCAGGATATTAGGAGAAATGGGTCTGTGCAAAGTCTCTTGCAGAACGCAGACAGTCTGAACTTCTGAACTATAGGGGAAAATGACGATACGTGTTTTGGGGGAATATGTGGCAGGTGGTTTGGGAAGGCTGTACCTCCCTGGTACCTCATCAGTGTGGAAAGGAAGAGGGCAACATGTGGTCAGGAGTTTAGGATAAAGGGTTCTAAACCTCAAGAAAAACCCCACAGGGGATTGGCCTAATGGACTCTCTCCCTTTATTCTAATAAAGTTGCAGGACTCCTCTGTCTCCTTTATGGACACTGGCATTTCACAGCATGGCTTTTCTGCAAAAAACCTGAAGAAATTAGGTTTAGATTAGATATTTGGGAACGAATCCTTCACTGTGACTGTGCTGAGGCACTGGAACAGATTGCCCAGAAAAGTTGTGGATGCCCCAATCATGGCAGTGTTCAAGGCCAGGTTGGATGTGGCTTTTAACACCTTGGTCTAGCGCAGGGTGTCCCTTCTACCAATTATCTATTAATTACAGTTACCTTCTCGTACATAAAAAGCCCCACTCTTACATGCTATCAATAAAGTAGCAAGAGAATCATTTAACACAAGAGGCAGACAATGCCATGAGACACAACTACCACATAGCATTGCAATACCATGTAATGTCTGTCATCTCTTCATAGGTCAAGGAAAACGTGGTTGCTAATTTCATTTCCTGTTCACTCAGCAACACTGTTCAAAATGAATGAATCCACTCCTTGAAACTCCAAAGCAAATACCTGTCACCTATGAGTGTCATGAGTCCTTGTACAAAGACATCAATGAGTTTTCCTGAGTATAATGACATTCATCCCTTCTTGCCCTTATTAAGAATTGGGATGCTTGAGTCCCAGGGTCTTTCATTACTCCATGATTATACTACCACATCTTAAAGAAAAATAAACTTTCCCTGGGTCAAAGATTCCCTTCACACCTTTTGCCTTGACAATGTGGCAGCCAGCTGCCACTTCTGGAACATGGAACAGCCATCAAGTACCCAGCAAAAGAAGTGATTTAATTCCTTTTGTGATTTCACCAATTCTGCCTTCAAAGTAAGCTTTAATAATGAGTCCTAATAAGCCTAGAATGTTAATGACAGTACCTAGTTTTAACCTATCAATATTACTCATATTGCAAGATAACCTAGAAATCACACCACAAAGTGGCTTACATTGTTCCAGCAAATAGAGTAACTAAATAACAATATGCAGTCCTCTGTTGAAAAGGGGTTGAAAAATTTTAAAAACAAACAAACAAGCAAAACTCCTCAAACAAAAAATAAAAACCCCATCCATAAAGCTTTATATAGTTTAGGAAAAATTGTGAAATTCCACCTTTCATTTATCTGAAACTGGGATAATGCAGTGTGAGAAGGAGGATACTTTCTTCTAAAATGTTTCCAGGATGTTTTGGATAACTCCATAATCCCATTATTATTTATTTGTATTATCAGTGAAGGTGTAAACACCCAGGCCAAAGAAGTAAATGCTGTGGTTGACAATGCAGCAGCATACAAATTCAAGAATGCAGGACTTTCACAATGTTTGAAACCTTTTATTAGCTTTTTACCTTTCATCTCTCACTAACACACTACTCCCTGCAGCAAAGCAGCAATTTCCCACCAGCCAGTTAAAAAGGCAAGTGGCTTGAACAAAGAGTGCCCCAGACACTGACAGATAAGAAGCACCTCAACCAGCACATAGTCCATGCAGCACAGCACGCTGCTAGGACAGACAAGGAGACACACAGCTGGTGATTAGAAGGAAACATAGGAGAATGTATGGAGATAAGAAAATCCATCCTGCCTACAGCAATACTAACTCGTTAAAAATAAGAGAAACAGATCTAGTCATCACTGAGTAATTGAAGGGAGGGACTGGACCTTAGTACCTTCTGTACTACAAGAAAAAATACATTAACCAATCCATTCCATATTAAAAAAAAACCCTAAGTGAAGGTAAATGAAGAGGGTACAGAGAGTACACAGTAAAAATGCTTTGTGGCAGCATCTACATTTGAAATTGCTTTTGGGAATAACACCTCTGCTCCCAGTATCAATTAAGGATTCAACACTTCTAAATAAATATGTATTTGGCATCTACTTCCATTCAATTTTGAAACAGCTGTAATGCCAGTTCCTTCAGTTTCCACCTGTTCCTCACCTCTAAGCTTCTCTAAGCTTTTCATTACATACTAAATGCACTTCCATAAACACTGTAGCAAACAGAACATACAGTAATTTTCAATTGAACAATTCTTCATAGCACCCTAACTACAGATAGGAAAGATCATCTGGTTTTCAGAAAATCAACACATTATAGATTGCAGTATTCTTTCCTGATACCATATAAGGCTATTTTGAAACCATGTATTTTTTTTGGAAAACTGTTTCTGAAACACATTCCACTATCTGTTCATGATTATGAGCTTTATTAGCAAATTCCAAGTATTAGAAAATACATGGTAAATATCACATTTGTTGGACACCAGCAAATACACTAATAATAGTTTGGACAGTATCTGAATTCGAGTGCGTCATACTTCAGAAAGCATTTTTAACAGGTAATTTTGACTTCTTTAGGGGAATGTGGAACATTTTCATGGTTCAGCCCCAGCTGGCAACTAAGTACCATGCAGCTGCTCGCTCATTATTTCCCTGAGTGTGATGGGAAGAAGACTCAGAAAAAGAAATACAAAAACTCACGAGTTGAGGACCGTTAAGAACAGTTGAACAGTATGAAAAGAAACCAGAGTGGAACATTGTAATAAAAAATATCATTTTAATTACAAAAAAACCCAAAACCTATCAAGAGCAAATAAGTAAAGCCCAAAAAAACAAGTGATGCACAATACAATTGCTCACCACCCTCTGAACAACGGCCAGACTGTTCACAAAAAGTGGTTGACTCCTTCCGGCCATAATCCCCTCCTGCCTCCCCTCCCAGTTTCCATACTGAACGTGATATCCTATGGTATGGAATATCCCTGTAGGTCACTTGTCCCTGCTGTGCTCCCTCCCAGCTTCTGCAGCTCCTCATTCACAGAGCATGAGACCTAAGTCCGTGACTTAGGGTAAAGCACCGCTTAGCAACAACTGAAATATCAGTGTGTTATCAATGTTGTTCTCTCAATCAATGTTGTTTTGGCTGAATCCAAACCACAGTACTGTACTGGCTGCTAAGTAGGAAATGAACTCTATCCCAGCTGAAACCAGGACAAGCATATAAAAATGCTACCAAGCAACTACAGAGGCAGCAGAGCTGCTCTCTGCATGTGTTCCAATACAGTTAGTTGGTTTTACTGACTTCTGACTCTTTGAAGCATTACAAATGGAGAAGCTTGCACTCGTATTGCTGAGGTGTGACCACTCATGCTCTCTCTGTAGAAGTGGATTCAAGCATGACTCCAAATGCCTCCCAAGTCATTTCCCAGCTACAGCCTCAAGAAAGACCCAAAGCTATATCATACTTTCACCTACTAGACTAGACTTCTGGAGAAAGAAAACCTAGGAGATCAAAAAGAAACCATGGTGTTACCTAAACAGAACACAAGTCCAGGTTATGTTGTGGCACACATTTAGGAACAGGTTAGCTACTGCCAGTGACTCCTCTGTGGGCAAAGAGTTACTGGGTGGGGAACAAGGGGGAGGAATAAACAACCTCTATTGCTCTGAATACGTACTTTGCCAAAGGAAGAATGTTACAAAATACAGCACCCCTGGTATAAACTGGATATCTTTCACATTGTCTTATGTAAATGATTTTATTAACAAAGCTCTACAGTATAAGTAGTCAAGCTTTGTGTCTGGCATCCTTTAATGCCCTGCCAGTCCTGTTCAGGCTGCAGCTCAGGGACAGGATTGTGGGCTGGCAGATGGACCTGTCCTGATCCAGTCCTCAGTCCAGCTCTACTGTCTGGGCCTGCCTGACCAGAACTCGCATCACAGCCAGCAGGCTCCTACACAAAGATCACTTCAGGCATTAAAGTCACCAATAACACCAATAACAGTGTAAATACTGTGTTAAAGGACACTGTGCATCTGTCAGCCTTCCACTATGTGGCTGAACCCTTCTCCATTTCCTCAAGTAGTCTTTTTCAAACTAGATAAGCATTTTAAGAGTAAGCTTTCAGAGTTGGAAAAAACTCAGAAAAAAAAATAGATAAAAAAGATAAATTTAAAATTTATAATTTTTAACAAAATATAAATGATAACAGATAAAAAAGGAATTGTTACCAACCAGAAAACTAAAATATATAATTTCAGTAACATGATACTACAATGATAAACAAATAATGTACTAAGAAATCTAAAACTATTTACATCTCTTAAAAAATTGTTATTTCCACATACTTTACTTAAAAAACAGCGTGAGAATTACAAACCTTGCTGCTAAAAGGTTCTAAATAATTATGTTCAAAGCAGACTACTCCTTCATCTAGTACAAGTCAGCCTCATGCTAAGAAAATTCACATGACTCATACTTTCTAGTCAAACACACAGAATGACCAGTTCATATCATCAATGACAGCGTGCTGTCACCAAAGACATTTTGGTTCTTCTCAGAATATTTATGGCAGCCTTGAGAATGCATAGTTCTTTAAAACAAATATTATACAAAACTTGAAACAAGAACAAAACCAAAAAAAAACATTCTGAAAGAATGACAAAGCACAGGGGAAAATAACTATTATGAAGCCAATAGATTCAAAACCAAACACCCACTCGTAACTGGCAATGTTTAAGTCATAGAGAACAAAAATGCCTGCCCAGAAATGACATGTCAGCTAACATTGAAATGTGAGTTACAGGAAGAAAAGAGAAAAATGCTTACCTGTGAATAGAAAAAGAAGCAATAGACCTAATGAGGGATGCCACTGCTCCAACTTTAGCAGCTTCCACTGCTCCCTGTAACCTGTATTGCACAGTTTCACCATAATTGATGAAAGGTTCATTGTAGACGACAATCTTCCCCTTGGCCTCCTGAGCTCGTTTGTGCAGTTCATCAAATGAGGCTACAACTATGACTTCTGCTGTAATTCCTGAAACAAAATATTACAGTGGTTTTAGCAATGCTTTCCTATAGCTCTCCTAAGGTCAATTCTAACAGACAGAAATGCATGGACTGTGCAGAACTCAGGAAATCAGCGTGAGTTTTTTTTTTTCCTGAAAAAGGAAGACTGTGTGAAATGCCTCATTAGGGATCAGTACCAAATAGATGCAACAGAACTCTGATCCAGCACACACACCTCTGTAAACAATTCTATCAGGCTGGTATTAAAACATAACTTGAAGGGCAAGAAGGATACGTGGGGAGAATTTTGTTCACTGCATATGCTTTAATGCCTCATTTTAATCATGTATAGTATAAAAACATTTGCAAAAGCTGTCTATGGGATCAATTAAAGAAAAAGATAGTAATATTTTCATGGAAATGTTCTGATATGCTGCTAAACAACTTAGCTTAACAGCTGGAAGCCTGTATTTTTAGACTGTAACTCCTATAAAATTATTTAATCCATAAATGAAATGAAATTGAAGTTCTGCAGTGTCAACAAATTTTGCAATGTGCTTAATAATAATATAATATCATCTTCATATTTAAGTCAGGAGAATATAACAGTTCTATTGGATCTCATTCTGTGAGTTTTTCCAGGAGTCTACATTTCCCAGTTCATGATACAGAAAACACAGGCAGGTTCTTGTGTAGGAATATTCACACATGCTAAGTTAGATCCCACCCAGATCTTTGTTTTTAATAGTTGGAATAGTTTTAAATTGCTGTATTATCTTACTTGAAAAAACAAAGAATGTTATAGATAAGCCAGAGAATCCTTCTAACTTTTAAGGACATTAATTGAGGAACTATATTTCATAGCATTTGAGAAGTAATTCATTAAAATGACCACGATACTTAAAATTCAATTTTGTTGATTTGTTACAGAGGTAAGTAGAGACTGCTTAACAACATGGGCTGGGTACTTTGCTCCTAAATATAGAAGAAGTAATGGTTGTCCGAAATTTTAATGTTGTACATTTCACCTAATAGTCACAAAATACATCAATGGAAACTGAAACGAATTACAAATCCTCTAGCAAGGATTTGTCAGAATAAAGTGAATCTATCATGTTTTTATGAATAAAATTATTCTCCTTAGAAAAGTTTTTTGTTTTTTGGTTGGTTGGTCTCTGGTTTTTTTGTGTGTTGATTTCAAAGACTTGTGTGAGGATTTCAAAGACTTGTATTTAAGACCACAATAACTCCTAGAAATAAGAGTTATTAGTCATATATAGTCACAAATAAAAGAAAAAAACTCTTAGAAAAATAGGAAGGTAATGTCTCCCAGCATCAGTGTGCCAAGGCTCATGGCTTTTTTAAGAAGAAACTACACTTCTAAACCTTAAAGAAACCATTCCACAGAAGTTTGGTTTCACTAGAATGTACCACTAAGAGTTCAACAGACATTTACTGCTACAAGAGCGAGTTTTAGCTACAAAAATAACCTAGTGTGACAGGCATAAAAATTTTAACTATTCAGATTCTTACCTTAACCTGGCAATGTTTTAGAGAGGCAAACCAAAGAACCACCTTCACATATTACTAGCTGCTGTTGGCAGGCAGGTGAGCACACTAGCGGACTCCAGCTGCTTATAATTAATGGCAGGTTCAGCCTCTAAGGAACATCCCAGCAACAGGATAATTTTGGGTATGAAACCATGCCACTGGAAATAAAGCCAGGTATCTGCAAAATTTCATTTTCCACAAGAGAAGCTGTGGTCTCAGAAGGTTGATACTGCAATCTCTATTTCGTATTATCTCTCCCCAGTGCTCCACTGGGATAGTGCAGCAGGCACTGGAAGGACACACGTCTTGGTGATTGTTTGTCAAGGGAAGCAAGGAATGTAACTCTTCTGGGCATTACTGCATACATGAACAAACACCAGCTCTGAAAAGTTTTTTAAGAAAGCTACAGACATCTAGTAAGTATCTGTATTTCCTAAGAAATAGAATGGTGAAATACATTTACGGCCCTTCCTAAATGACAGGCATCAGGAGTTTGTACATAAGAATTACTGGGAATCAAATGTTCTCTGCAAGTTTAACTTAATGGCAGCATGAATTACAGTGCTTTCTGTAACAACATAAAACTTCACTGCTGCATAGCTTCTGACTAACTCAATTACTCATTTGCATTTTAGTGCCATTTTACACCATTTCAGATTCTTCAGCTGAAGTGACAAGAGCAATGTTTATCTTAAACAACAATGTGGACATAGTTTGTGACATACACAAACCACCCTTAAACCTTCTGTGCAAAAGGAGAAATGAAACAAAAAACCCAACAGTTTAGCAGTTTAAGGAAAATGAATTATTCCCTTTAGAAACTGGAAATGTCTCACCTTACTGAGCTTTTAAGCAAATTAATAGAAATCCATCCTAGTGTCTCCTACCAATTCAGTGCCTCATGTCTCTGCTTCCCATGTTGAAAGATATAGTCTCTCTTTCTTACACCTATCATTATATTATTTGCTGTGTGTTACTGAACAGAATTCTTCAGAAACCCCATGTAAGGAGGGAGACAGATTAGAGATCCAGTAACAAAACCAAAATGCAGAATTAATTTGACAATAAATTCTTTTCAATAGCAGCAAGCACACAACTCACTCCAGTGGATCTCCTAAACTTCAATTACTTCACACTAAAGTAAGAATTACAATTTCTTCTACAAGTCATGCTATGGAACAGCAATGCTGCTGATCCACGTGCACTGAAGTTGCCACTGTCAAATAAGTAAGCTGATGGGCAAGGCAATTTTTCCTTAAAACAATTGCAATACAGTAATTTTAAGCCTAGACACGACAAAGCTGGAAAAGAAATATCAACACAAAAAGTCAACAACACATCTAATTGTTCTGATACAGTAGAAATTTTGAACCTGGAGATGTATCTGAAACATGTGCTGGCCTCTGTAGTCATGAGAGAAAGAAGGAGACGGGATGTTACCTCCCCATTCATCAGAACCAGGCATCAGGATATCAGGACAGGAAAACAAGACAGTTCTTCATGGTAGAGCAGGGACAACACCACACCACAATTACAGTGCTGGAAACCCACGTGGTGATGGCAGCCCTGCCTCACACAGCAGCCACATCAGGCCACCCTCTTGCCTCACCTCCTGCAACATCCCAGACTTCTCTGTTGCTACTTCAGCTCTCCCCACAAAGCTAATTTAGCCCAGAGCTGCTTCATCAAGGTATACTGTATTCTATGCTGACCCTAAACACATGTAAGCAGTAGCCCCAAGCTTTTCTTACCTTAGTCTGGTTATTCCCATTGTGTTTCGGACTTGATCATCTCTCCAGATAAAAAGTACCATGCCCCTGGCTTCTTTCACATACAGCCCACAAACACTGTCTTGTGCCCATTTCCAAGGTAGCTTCTTTCACAGAGTTACAGAGAACCTAGAATTTTTTTGCATGAGTCATACAATACAAAGGTAGATATATATGTCTGGAGATAAGATATTTGTTGGGACAGGTCAAAGGAAAGAAGGCCTTGGGAGTGGAGGGAAAATGTAAATATATTCTTCAACACTAAGTAAGATTAGAGACCTGGCATTAAATCCTTTTTTAAGGTCAACATCCTCTAAAATCAGCTCAGAAAACATTTTCCCTCTCAACTTCTATAATAGGTCTCTTAAAAACACGTTGTTTTCTAAAACTCTACAGGAATTAGTTCATCTTTCCTGCAATGCTCCAACCAGATTTTTAGAAAAACAAGCCCAAATTCTTTGTCTCTAATGACTTCATCCAATTAAGGCTTCATGTCAGCTTGAAGCAAATGAAAGATTAATATCATCACTTTTTTTTTTCTCACTCAAAAATTATTAGTATGTACTGAAAATTTGAAATATTCTAACACCTAGAAACACATTTGCTCTGTCAACACATATAAATATGTACTAATATAAAAATTATAATATGAAGAAAATACTAAATATTTTAGGGGAACTGTGAAATGAAGAAGAGGGTTTTAACAGGAAGAAGGATTTTGTAAAATCTGAACAATAGTTCTAGAAATACTTCTAGAAAATGTGACCTTCCTACTCTGTGGAACAGCAAAGAGAATTACTTCATGAAAATAAAATTACATAGGACAGTTATAAAAAAGGATATGAGGCTATTCAGCTCTGATGCAATGCACAGACACTAAACGCATTATACCATTCCTTAAGAACACAGAGAAAAATAAACAATATATAATAGTTATGTTTTTGATAAATATGACTTAAAATTTCCAGCAAGTACTGGATCTCTTTAGAACAGTTTGGTTTCAGTGACATATAGCTTCCTGTGCAGCACAAATCCTAGGAGAGAATGGGTTGTTCCCAACCCCCAGCACAAAGCCTTGGGTGCCAAAAGAGTGGGGCAACAGGTTAGGTTTCCCCAGGAGCAGCTGTGGATGGAGCACAGGCCTGCTAGGCAATGTATAGGGAGAATCAGACATCCAAAACCAAGATCCACAAAAATCAGTTTCTGAGAACACAGGTGCTCAAGGCAGGAAATGTTTGAGGACATTCCCTCCTTACTAAGTCAAAGGTGCCAGTCACCACCAGCTATCCACTGGGATGAAGGTAATTTTGCTATCCAGCTGTATCTGCATACCCCACACATGCAGAATTGCTATCCAGCTGTATCTGCATACCCCACACATGCAGAAAATCATATTCAAACCCTGCCTTCAATAGCTTCAGCCTGGCCTTAACATCCTTGAGGTAACCACCCTCAAGTCAGTGAGACTGCAAAAGGAGAAGACCAGAAAATGCAATTTTTGGCCAGTGGCAATCCATACAGTTCACTGGAACATTGGTTAAATTTAAAGTAGCAACTGGAACCCACGTTCTCCCCAGATAGCATATCCACCTCAAAGCCATGCACCTACTTCTACCCTCTAAATCTTTGACATGCTGCTGCATTAGCTTTTAGCCCAGATGCTGGGCCACTGAACACCATAGTGCCTCATGTCCTTCACATGAGGATGTCACCTTTTATAATCCAAGAAAAAGAGTAGCATAATTACCATACCACAAGCAGTGCTGCTCTAAGTAATAAACAATCCAGGCAGTCAATACTGAGGCTCGTGGTCTCAAGATGTCGATCCATAGTTGATCACACATGAAAAAAAGAGGAATCCAGTGAAGACAGGAGGGCTTTGCCATGCATTGTCCTCTCATGTCTATGACTCTCTCCAGCCCCTGTTCTCAGCACTGAACCCCTCATCAAAGGGGTACCCAAGTCCCTCCAGAAGCATCATTTTTCTTCCAGGAAATCAGTGGTCATACAAGATGCTATCAACTTAAGGGTGAATCTTCTGATACACATTAAAAATAACTTTTCTGTTGGCCTTTTGTTTATCTAGCTGAATTTCCTAATCTACTTCACCACTGAGATAAAAAAGAGGAAGGTCAACACTGGGGACAAAATGCATCAGCCAGGACTGGAGCCAGACCACTTCTTTTAGCAACATCCCTGGTTTAATAAAATGGTGGACCTACAATAACAGCCCACACCAACAGCTTCAAGACAACATGCATTTATCCCCATTTTATACATAACAGGCTGGAACTACTTTCATATTTTTTAACTGCAAAGCTCCTATAACCTTCTGTAAGGGCACAGCTGGACCAAATGCTGACAGTTAAACAAAATAATCCCCCGTGACTTGAACACAAAAACTAGGAAAAAGTCTGCCAATGCATCATCTTCATATTTATATTGTTTCAGTTTTGATGCAACCAACAGTACATAAAAACAGTAATTTTTTTTTGAGGAGACATTTCAGGGCAGGCTGCTCTAAAGTTTGTTCTGCTTGTCAGTATTTCTTTAAAATTAAAGGGCATGGTCATCCACCAGGGTAAAAAAAGTGCACTTTAAAACACATGCAAAAAAATGAATTCTTTGATACTTTATGGTCAAACATCTGCTAAACTACTACTTTCCTTCAATTATGGGATTCTCAAAGCAACAATTATATCTATTTTCCTCAGAATTTGGGGGATATAATCAGTACCACCCGAAATCAACACAGTCTCTCTCCTCTCTCTCTCTCTCTATATATATATATCTATGTTTTGCCAATGTTGAAACACCGAAAATGAGACAAGGACATTGACTAAATATGGTAAATCTCCAGTTTTGCAGCTCCCAAAAGTGAGCACTTTCTAACATTCAATCCTGTTTGTTACCTAGGAGTCCATTTCTTCAAGGTGATGACTGTTTTCAGTCCCTGCTGATTTCTGGAAATCCAGGTCACTCTGTTTCATGTTTCTTCTCTCCCTGCCACTAAAGTGGGCAGTGAAGTTACTCCCTCCTTGTAAGGAGATCAAACAAAGTGAAAACTTTCTCTTTGACCCAACACCTTCTTATCTTGGAATACACTTGGAGAGGGAGAATGTCGGGGGTTTTTTCCTCTTCTATAGGAAAATCTAACCTTTTCTGTACCCTCCTTTTTTGCTGTGTAAATCAGATGGAATATGGGAACTTGACATCTTGGCATATTTCCCAGACATGAAGAAGAAAGTAGGATTTTATCCACAAAATCACAAGGTACTGAAATGCCTCCTGCACATAATCCAACTGTTCTGTATCTGAGCCAAAATAGGCAAATCTCATAAAATCAAATGAAGGAGGAAAGCTCTGTGCACATCCCAATAGGGTTTCAATGCCATAGGCACGAGTTAGAAGACCTGCAGAAAGAGACACTCTTGGTATCCTGGAGTCAATGGACTGGCTTGGACTTCATAGCTAAAAATACTGCTACTATTTAGGGCTTCCTGTTCCTGCCCTGAAGGATTGCGGATTTTTTCCACACTTGCATGGTGTATGCTGAAATGGAAAGTAACCAACCTCAGCATGTGCTCTACCCATTGGGTCACTCTTAGGAAACATTGGTTTGAATTTCCATGGACAGAAGGGAAAATAAGCCCTGAATTTCCAACATTCAAAGCCAGGTTTCTAATTGCTGTTAGGCTATTGCCATGTTAATGAAGAGCCCTCCTGAGTACTTGCTTGGGGTGCTGAGCTTCAGAAGGAGCTCTGAGGGAATCAAAGGCCACCAAGTCCAGCACCAAGTTTTAAGTTTCTGCCAAGGTGTCCTATTTTCTTAGCTTCTTGGGTCACAAGCCTGGGGCCAAATCATGAGAAGGGAGGCATACAGGACATAATTGGGAAGATGAAAAAGAATCGTCTCCTGTACCTCCTGCTGGCATAGTGGAGTCAGCCCCTCTTATCTTAACCCCATTCCTAGATCTTAAAAGACAAGAAGTCCAACCTGTGCTGTGTTTGAAGTCCAATATTAGTCCTCTGTCTTTAAGCATGCATCAGTAGTGTCAAAGAAGGGATCTAAGCTGGGCTGTACCAAGACACTGGTTTGTAAATGGAGGGGTCTGAAATATATCCTGATAGGAACACTGACTTAAAACATGCAGTAACTATCAAGCTATCAAGTAACTGTTTGCTAACAGCAAACAACTTTAGGGATCATCTGCACAGTCCACATTAGAAGCAGCTGTGAAGGAACCAAAGAATCATCATTGAGCCAACATCTGAGGGACAGTCTTTAGCCTTTAAAAACATCCCTCTGCCAAAGCTCAGCACAGCAGCAGCAGATCTCCCTAGTTTGAGCCCATGTAACAACAGTACTGTAACGACAGGATAATTGGCATCAGGCATCTCTTACTGAGTTGCATTATTTTGATTACAGGAAGACTCATACTCCCATAGCTTCATGGCTAAAACAAGATATATCAGAACTGCTGATAATCCCTCACTGAGGGAAATTGTTCAACTACTTCTGATGCTACTTAGGGCAGCCTTCTATCCCTTTTTCTTAGGAATAAGGCACTGTGACAATCCTCAGAAGTGATAAGGCAGTGGTTTTAGCAGTCTAACGACACATTTTTTATTCCATGCTTGCTATGAGTGAGAGTTTTAGGACAGGCACTTTTCTCAACAGCACGCCTTCCGATTCTCTTGCCCGCAGAGGCTGGTGACGAGCAGCTCTTACCAGACATTTCCGTCAGCCAGGAGGATGGTTCAGTGATCGGAAGAATGAGAGCCAAGTGCTCACCAGGGGCCAGCTACCCCACACAACCTTCCCAAGCACAAAAACCTGTCACAGTTTGCACAGAGCAAGATGAGACCAGCAGACATCAGAACAGGCACAAATGGTAGGAGAGTCAGAAGGTAATTTCATCAAAATTATTCCACAAAGTGTGAGAAATGGCCCACTCTTTTGTGAGAGATCTTATTGCCATAAAATCTTCCAGCATCAACACATATACCTCTTCAGAAACATGGCAGATCTTGGAGGAAAGTGAAATTGTGAGAAGAACAATGTAGGGGTTTTGAACATTCCTCAGTATAAATCAGCACTGGATAATACAAACATATCTTTCAAGATAGAGGATCTTTACAGATGGAAAAGAAGGACATAATTAGCCTCTGTGGGTATTTTTAATATGCAAATTCAGTATATCACAAAAACAAAAAAACAAACCAAAACAGAACAAAACAAAAATAATAATAAAAAAAAAACACCCAGGAGTAAAACTGGGCAAATGCAAATAACTACAGAACTAAGGAAAGGAAGTGAAAAACAGACTTTCCAGGATGTGAAGACATTTGCCAAAATTAAATTGCAGGATCTCTTTTCAGGTTCAGCAACACTTGCTAAACACCAAAAAAGACCTTTTAATTTTAGCTTACATTTTAGGAAGATTGGAATAGAACTGGAAAGGATACAAAATAAGTTGTAGGTTAAGATTTGCTGTAAATTTTCTCCTATCAAAGCAATAAACCCTGCACATATCACAGGACAAACAGATAGTAATGGTTCCAGTTGCTTTGCATTTTAGGCATGTGTTTGCCTCAGTATGACAGAACTATCTCAGATAAAATTCACAGCAGCAATTTTGCAAACCAAGTATGATTTATTCCAAACATATCTTAAATTACCCAGTTTTATTTGTTGCATTTTGAAGGGCTATATAATTTTTACAAACAAAATAGTTTTATATGTTGTTTCATTTCAAACAGAAAGCTCACTATCACAAAAATTTACAATTCATAAAAAAATTATGAGTATTATGTTACCTTTTATTTCCTAAACTAAATTATTTTCTCAAAAAGGAATACAAATGCTTTTGAAGTGGTCTAGAAATAAGTACACTGCTTTTTATGGAGAGTAGTCACAGAAGAAGATTCTCATCAGGCATTTAAATACCAATTCTGAAAGCCTCACAACAATACGTACAAATAGAGAATCTTATAAATAATTTTGTTTGTAGGCAATCTAATATTTTGGGGTTTAAAAGACCAGAAAATCTTGTTAAGCGCAGCTAATGGTTGCTCCTGAGTAACACATCACACATGATCATCTAAAAGGCAACCCAGAGTTCAGTGACAGCTAAGTGACAAAGTGAGCATGTGAACAACGTGAACAGTAAGTTCCAAGGTGAGCACGAGACAGGGAAGGGAAGGACACACCGATACCGACTGCTGTGTTTAGTGAGGGGCTTGAATTCTCCAAGCTCAGCTCCTTTTCCTGCTGTCTAGTTTTTTACTGGAGTGAAGGGCCGAGCCTGGCAAGACAGTGCACATGAAGAGAAGGAGAAATCATGTGTCAACTTGACACTCCATGGAGAACTTCTTTCTTACCAGCCACAATGGAGGACCAGAATCTTTGTAAATGAGGTTTAGCAGTGTTCAAAAAAACAAAGGGTATAAATTTAATGGAAAGTTCAGGAATCAACTAATTTTACAAGTCTGCTCAACCAAACTGTATTAATATAAACTGCACCAGTCAGAACCATGCCATATAGAAAAGTCCCAGGAAAATAGCACCTTGTTTTGCAGAACTATTACAGCAAGAAGAAAATCACATTATGACCACTGAGAGAAATTATTAGGGGCACAATACAGTTTGTGTTAAAAAGAAAGTCATATGTAATTCCAAAAGGAAGAGTTACCTTCTGGAGGAGTTGCAATACTGTTCCCAAGTCCCAAAATAGCAATGCTGTGATTCCTTGGTTCCAACATCACTGCAAACTCTTCTCCTCTTTCCCAGTGTGGTACTTTCACAGGCTCCAGATGCACATTTTCCAGCCTGTCTTCCTGCAGGGCACTGAACATATATTTGATGGCTGCCTCTAAGTTTTTTGAACCACTGAGTCTTGGTCCTATGGTGTCAGTAAAAACTGCTAATCTTTCATAGGATCTGTTCTGAGCCTTTCCATGAACAGCAAGATCAATAATAGCCTTAGCAATATTAGTATAGCCAGCTATCTCATTTTTAATGTCTTCAAATGACTTCAGGGAACTTCCATCTCTTCTCAAAGATTTCCCAGCATACTGGTGTAATAAATTCATGAGAAATATTAAAAATAAGTACTTCATTTTTTTCCTCTTTTTCTTTTCCACAGATGGCCTGTTGGAGAAGCAAAAAGAAAAAGGAAGTTAAAAAAAATCATACACCTATCAGCAATACTTTTTGTTATTTGGATTGGCGGGCAGAAATTAAATGAAAAAAAAATAGTTTATCATGAAAACACTTTGATCAGAACTAGCCAGAAAAGTAAACTCAACTTGAAGACAGAGTTATTGAAGGCAAACAAAAAAGATACTTAGACCACTGGACACAATCTTTGTTGTGGTCTTTAGAAATATCCTTGGAATGCTGCAACTCTTTAAATAAACACATTCTTCAATGAATCAAAACTCAGGGCTGCTCCCATGCAGGAGGAGTTTTGCATTTCCTTTCTGTTAGGAGCAGGACTTTTCAGAAATGCCAAATCAAATGTCTTTACACAAAACATCCAGACAGTAACTTTTCTTAAACCATTCATTAATAAAAGTTCTTCCTGATCTCCACCTTCATAATAAGGAAAGTAATTTCTATTGTACTAAAAATATGTAAGATTTAGATCCAATGCCTCCAGTGTCCTGTTTTTGGCTAGGATAGAGATCATTCTTTGCTTAGTAAGTGATATACTGCTGTGTTTTGGATTCAGCATGAGAACATTGATAACATACTGATGTTTTGGTTGTTGCTAAGTAGTGCTTACCCTAAATCAAGGACTTTCCAGTGTCTCATGCTCTGTGAATGAGGAGCGGCAGAAGAAGCTGGGAGGGAGCACAGCCAGGACAACTGTCCTACATTGGCCAAAGGAATATTCCATACCAAGCTGAGTACACAAACCGGGGGAGTTGACTGATCACTTCTCAGGGAAAGGCTGGGTATTGATCAGCAGGTGGTGAGCAATTGCATTGTGCATCACTTATTCTTTTTGGGTTTTATTTGTTTATTATTATCATCGTTATTATTATAATACTTTACTTCTTTTCATCTACTAAACTGTTCTTATCTGAATCCACGAGTTTTTGTACCTGTATTGGTTTGGCATGGCCTGGTTTTTGGTAGCAGGGGTGCCACAAAGATGTATCCTGTGGGAAGCTGCTGGAAGCTTCCCACCATGTCTGGCAGAGCTGATGGCTCTAAAGATGGACATGCTGCTGACCAAAACTGGGCACATGACATGGGTTGGTAACACCTCTGTGATGACATACTTAAGAAGAAAATCAAAACAAGGTCATAGATTTTTTGTTCCTTATCAGAGAAGAGGAGGTGAGGACACGTAAGGAAAACAACATGGAAACACGAAGGTCAGTGGAGGAAGTGCTCTATGTGCTAGAGCTGAGATTCCTCTGCAGGCTGTGGTGAGACCATGGTGAGGCTGCTGTGCCCTGCAGCCCACGGGGATCCATGGGGGATGCAGAGATCCACCCACAGCCCGTGGGGATCTACAGGGGATGCAGAGATCCAGCCACAGCCCATGGGGATCCATGGAGGATGCAGAGATCCACCCACAGCCCATGGGGATCCATGGAGGATGCAGAGATCCATGGGGGATGCAGAGATCCACCCACAGCCCATGGGGATCCGTGGGGGAGGCAGAGGTCCCCCGCAGCCCACGGGGATCCATGGGGGATGCAGAGATCCACCCACAGCCCACGGGGATCCATGGAGGATGCAGAGATCCACCCACAGCCCATGGGGATCCATGGGGGATGCAGAGATCCACCCACAGCCCATGCTGGAGCAGGTGGATGCCTAGAGGAGGCTGTGATCCAGTGGAAGACCCAGTGGAGAGAGAGAGAGCCCTGCTTCCAGGCTGGAACAGCCTGTCCTTGGAGGACTGCATCCTGTGGAAAAGTGACCCACACTGCAGCAGTTTTGGGAGGACTGTCTGCCCATGAGAGGAATTCACATTGCAGCAGGTGAGATTTGGCTGCTGCTTGTGGGAATGGACCCATGCTGGAGAAGTTCACATAGAACTGTCTCCCATGGGAGGGACCCCACAGCCTCACAGGGGAAGAAGCCTCTCCCAGAACAGTGGAAGAAAATCTCAGTGATGAACTGACCAAAACCCCCACACCTTGTCTTCCTGCACTGTTGGCGGGAAGGAGGGAGGGGTTGGGGGGAAAAAGGTGTTTCAAGGGTTTATTTTATATCTCATTATCCTCCTGTGATTCTGTTAGTAACAAAATTCACTTTGCAATTTAAGTTGAGCCTGTTTTGCCCTTGAAATATTTCTCCCGGTTCTTATCTCACTCATGAAGCATTCATTAATTTTTTTTCCCTTCCTCTGCCCAGCTGTAGCAGGGGAGGGTGAGTGAGGGAGTCTCATGGGTGCCTGGCGTTGGGCCAGCATCAAACCACAACCACCTCTTTTTCTGTATCTCCTCCTTATGTCACTGAGGGCTGGGAGCAAGAAGTGAGTGTGTGTCTGCATGGTACTTAGTTAGCATCTAGGGTTAAACCATGCCAGAATATTAACAAGCTTTCTTTGGATCCTCTTCCTTCTTCCAGGGCTTTATTCCTCAGGACTTATATCAAACAAGTCTTTGAAGAGGTCAAAGTCTTCTCTCCTGAAGTCCAGCGCTGTGATCCTGCTTTTTGACCTGCTCCTAGGATCCTGAATTCCATTACCTCATGGACACTGCAGCCAAGGCTGCCTTTGACCTTCACAGCCCTTCTTTGCTTGTGTGATGTCCATCACAGCCCCTCTCCTTGATGGCTTCTCCATAACCTGTGTCAGGCACAGCAATCCTCCTGGATTGCTTATAGCCTGCTGTGGTGACCCTCCAGCAGATATTGGGATAGTTGAAGCAACAGAGCCTGTGAATGAGAAGCTACTTCCAGCTCTTAAGGCCACATCTACTTGTTCTTCCTGATCAGGTGGCTGATAACACACAGCTGCTTTAGTCACCCATACCAGTCTGCTCTTTAATAATCCTTATCCAGAGGCTTTCTGTTGGTTCATCACCCATCCCCAGGCAGAATTCCAAGCACTACAGCTGTCCTCTCACATAAAGGGCAACTCCATCACCTCCTCTTTCCAGTCTGTCCTTCCTAAAGGGCATCTATCCATCCACTGCAACATTTCAGTCATGTGAGCTATCCTTCCACATGTCTATGATCCCAACAAGATCACAGCCCTGCAACTACACACAGACCTCTGTCTTGATTTATTCCCCATGTTGTAAATGTTACTGTGCAGGCACTTAGGAGCATAGATTTGTCAGAAGAAACAGAAGAGGCAACCCACAACATTTATGAGAGCTTCTGATCAGCTCCCAAAAAGGGAGATAATCCACTAGGCATGCACCCATAAGATGCCACATGAAACACAGGCTGTGCAAGGCAGAAATGAGACACAGAAAGAGTCAAAGTACTAACCCCATTTCTAGGATCTGTAAACCACCAGAATTCAGACAAATAAACAAAACCACCCCAATACCCACAAAAAACACTCACACAATCATTTTGGAGTCACCAAGCCTAGCTCATATGATAACCAACACAAAGCCAGCCTTCCATAGGCCTTTATGGGTCTTTTCACAAATAGCAATTTAAACAATTGCTTTAACAATAGAGTAATACTAAGGTATTTGCCTTAACTATTCAAATATCCCCTAAACTTGAGACCAAGGCAGTAATAAGTTCTTCACAGTGAAGCAACCTTTTTGCTAAACAAAAAAAAAAAAATCACATCATTAATTTAATCTGTGAATGATAAATCTGTAACAGAGATTTCTCTGAGACCAGCAGGGCAAAGGTCTTAGACAACCACGAGCAGAAGACTCAGGTTATCTCAGGACACTGTCTGAGAACCACAAAATGCCTTTTATAGTCTGAGTTACTGTTTATTTGTGGTTATACTACACAGAGGGTATTGGTGTATTTTTATTGCTATGCTCTGCACTTTCTCCATGTACTTTCCCTTAACCAGTTAATTACATGCTCTTAGACATCCTCTTCTAGAGACATCAGTCGTTTTCTCAGGATGACCATGCTTGTTCCCTGATTTTTGCCAAGTTCATCACACACAAAGAAATCAGCAAGATAATGGAAAAATGCTGAATGGAATAAGACAATTTTGTAGATTTAGTTTCAAAAACAACATTTGGGAGTTTGTTTGTTTAAGGGTTTGCAAAATCTACCAGAAAAAAGCAAATACACTTGGCTGTTACACAGAAGGCACAGAGAGATTATTTAAATAGCATTGGCCACCTCAAAGATCCCCCAGCTACCAACTTCATGCACTTTTTTCAATGGACATATGCAACGGTAGTTATCACATTTCCCTTAACTAAGAAAAGCTTTCTTTGTTCTCCTATCCTTATTCAAAACCAGCAGCATACTCACTCCAAAGGCTGCCCCAGTGGACCTGCATTTAAGAGATATACTTCTTCCAGGAATTTCCCACTGAACACTGAGAACAGACATGTTTCCACAACTTCTGTGGATGTAACATATTTCTGCATTGCACAGCATTTCACTGCCTGCCAATACATTGTAAGAGGAATATAACTGAATTCAAACCCTGGTCAAGAACACAAAAAAAGGAATGTAATTTATTGTGCTTTCCTTGAATACTCCAGCATAATCTGTCCAAAAGCAGCTATCTGAAATACTTCCCCGCTGGGTAAAATAACATCATACTCAGACTGCAATACAGGAATCACTCCCCACTAGTCCAGGGAAAGAATCACACATCTGTTTTCCCAGTCTCTGCAACTTTATCACCTCAGTGAATCCTCTAGCAAAGGAGATTACTTATTTTTCCACATCTAACTAGTGAAGACTCAGCAAATCAACCTTACAGTGCCAGCCAAATTAATAAAAAGTAACAGGAGAGTCAAAGTTGTTCCATGTGTTTTACTGTTCATGAAGTAGAAAGAGGGCATCCAGCCACAGGAGTACCTGGATCCCTACAAAAGGAAGGGAATGCTCTGAATATAGTTCACAGAAAGAAAGGTTTTTCCCTGCAAAATCCTAGCAGAACATTTAAAGGGGAAAGTCTGGAGTGAGGAAGACCAAGTTAGGTAGCACTTAAACTGTACACATATAAATCCATGGGGAAT